AAATAAATGAATCATTATCCAACCCGTTTGAAATATTGAGGAAGTCCATTTTGATGACATGGCTGATGAAGTGTCAAAAAAATCCCAGTCAGCATGCCAAATGTCGCGATTCTAAGAGTTCAACTCTCCTTTTTTATATATAAAGGATATAAAGGATAGTCGAGTCATATCATAATATATAAAATTTTAAAGGATTATATTGTTTATAACTAAAAAGAAATTTTTATACAATCCTTTTTTAATTATGAAATATTATAAAAGGTTAAGTGAAATTGTAACAAAAATGACTCTAGCTTGGTTGGTAAGGAACTCATCTAATTGACTAAGAGATATTGGGTTCAAATCTCATGGTGGTATGCTTTTGGAAAAAAACTGCAAAAAAAAAAAAAACTGGTCCGACCGGTTCGACCGACTGATTTGTCTAAAAGGGTGACACATCAGCTCTGCCACATGTCGCGCTTTAGCTCTGCCAAATGTCACGTTCTTGTAGCTCGGAGTCTCCTTTATATATATAAAGGATTTCTACTCGAACAACACATTGCGTCTTGGTATTCATCTATTTTGTCTATCAAATATACATTTAAAAAGCGCAAACAACACGCATATAACACGAGCCCGTGCGAAGCACGGGGTAGAAAACTAGTTATGGTAAAAGAATATGGAAAGAAAGGAGTTTGTTTAGATATAAAAATATGATACTTAAACATCATGTCTTCAAAATAAAATTTTACATTATTTGAATGTCCAAAAATAAACTTTTTACTTCCCAACTTTCTCTTTTAGAAAATAAATCTATGGGCAATGATGTTGATGAGGTTGGGACTGAGATCTTGACAGACAATTGAAGAAGGCCAGGAGCAAGATGATGCTATGGAATTTCGAGAGCTCGTAATGGATATATCTTTACACCAAAAAATCAAGGAAGAGGAAAACATAACTTTTTTGTTTAATTTCACTCTCATTGTTACTCTGTATAAGAGTAGAATAGCTTAATTAAGTTGTTCATGCCGTGATGAAAGGCTTGTTTATTTGAGATAGACTTGTATTGTTATTCGACGGAATGAAATTTAGCCCAACAACTATGGTGGTACGAAGAACTTGCATGTAAATAAAAAGAATATAAATGACTCTCTTATGCTTGTATTAGCTTGATTCAGTTTGTATTACAATGGGAAATTTGCCTCCTACAGCCTAACGCCACTGCATACATGATATGTAATTCGTGCGCTACATTATCGATCGGGTTGATTGACGATCGTGCGTCAATTGTGACCAATTCCTCAATCCCACGATCAAAGGGATTGCTTTCTCCTTTTACTTGGTGACCAA